TGCTTCCACTTCTTGGCTATGGTGAATAATGCTGCAATGAACATAGGGGTGCATAAGCCTCTTTGGATTGTTGATTTCAGGTTCGTTGGATAGATTTCCAGTAGTGGGATGGCTGGATCATAGGGCATCTCTATTTTTAATTCTTTGAGGAATCTCCATACCGTTTTCCATAGAGGCTGCACCAATTTGCATTCCCACCAGCTGTGTATGAGGGTTCCTGTTTCTCCACATCCTCTCCAACATTTGTTGTCTTTTGTCTTGGTGATTATAGCCATTCTAACGGGCGGGCGTGAGGTGGTATCTTAGTGTTGTTTTGATTTGCATTTCCCTGATGATTAGTGATGTTGAGCATCTTTTCATGTGCCTATTGGCCATCTGTATATCTTCCTTGGAGAAGTGTCTTCATTTCCTCTGCCCATTTTTTGATCGGGTTGTTTGTTTTTTTGTTGTTCAGTTGTGTGAGTTCTTTATATATTATGGAGATCAACCCCTTGTCAGATGTATGTTTTGCAAATATTCTCTCCCAGCTGGTTGGTTGTCTGTTCATCTTGATTCTGGTTTCATTTGTCTTATAAAAGCTCTTTAATCTGATACAGTCCCACTTGTTTATTTTTTCTTTAGTTTCCCTAGTCTGGGTAGGCATGTCATCCGAAAAGATTCCTTTAAAACCAATGTCAAATAGTGTGTTGCCTGTATTTTCTTCTATGAGTTTTATAGTTTCAGGTCTCACCTTCAGGTCTTTGATCCATTTTGAGTTAATTTTTGTGAATGGCGATAGCACATGGTCCACTTTCATTCTTTTGCATGTGGCTGTCCAGTTTTCCCAACACCATTTATTGAAGAGACTTTCCTTTCTCCATTGCATGTTCTTAGCATCTTTGTCGAAAATTAGCTGTCCGTATATGTGTGGTTTTATTTCTGGGCTTTCAATTCTGTTCCATTGATCTGTGTGTCTGTTTTTGTACCAGTACCATGCTGTTTTGATTACTATTGCTTTGTAGTATGTTTTGAAGTCAGGGATTGTGATGCCTCCTGCTTTGTTCTTTTTTCTTAGGATTTCTTTAGCTATTTGGGGTCTTTTGTTGCCCCATATAAATTTGAGTATTCTTTTTTCTATTTCTGTGAAGAATGTCATTGGGATTCTGATTGGGATTGCATTGAATCTGTAGATTGCTTTAGGTAATATAGACATTTTAACTATGTTTATTCTTCCAATCCACGTGCATGGGATATCTTTCCATTTCTTTATGTCATCATGGATTTCTTTCAATAATGTCTTGTAGTTCTCATTGTATAGGTCCTTCACCTCCTTGGTAAGATTTATTCCTAGGTATTTTATTCTCAATAAGAATTTTTGAACAATGAAAATAAGGAAAAAGGGGTCCAAGGACCTGAGCAGATCCATCATATCTGTGCCAGGTAGGAGGTTTCAAAGCACATACTGGCAATGTTGTCAGAACCCAAGGAACATGACTGTCCCATGTAGAATTACGCAGCAATAGCAAAGATCTATTCCTATTCAGCAAATGGACCAAACATTAGCTTATCCCCAGCTCCTTTTTGCATCTTACTGAGCAGGAAAGACATCAAGAATGCACTCAGAGTTGGGCCGGCCCCGTGGCTTAGCGGTTAAGTGCGCGCGCTCCGCTTCTGGCGGCCCGGGTTCGGATCCCGGGCGTGCACCGACGCACCGCTTCTCTGGCCATGCTGAGGCCGCGTCCCACATACAGCAGCTAGGAGGATGCGCAACTATGACATACAGCTATCTACTGGGGCTTTGGGGAAAAAATAAATAAATAAATAAATAAATAAATAAAAGAATGCACTCAGAGCCAATCCAGCCTAGAGAATAGCCAGGTTATTAAAATGTTTTGAAAGGCCAGTTACCAACCTGACCATCTCCTGATATCAGAAATTCTAAACTGGGGTCACTTTATCAACTAACGTAACACAGTGGCCAAATGGCTACAATGCCGAACTGAAGAATGAAGATGCTCCAGCACAGAATGAATGACCACATAGTATTGAAGCAGAGGACCCCTTTCAAAGTACTGATGTGAGCAGTGAGAGGGTGGTTCTCTGAGATGCCATCTACCAGTCTGTTATCAGCACTATATGCACAGTTAGACCACGCCACCAAACTGGTTTGTTACCAACAGCTTGCAGCAACCAAAGACCTAAGAAGCCTAGTTTATTTTGTAACACAGAAACTCAAGTAAAAAAGAATAGAAAACTAACTTTGGGACTTCTGTATAATTTTTTTTTTTTTTTGCTGGGAAAGATTCACCCTGAGCTAACATCTGTTGCCTATCTTCCTCTCCTTTTTTTTTTCCTCCCCAAAGCCCCAGTACATAGTTGTATATTCTAGTTGTAAGTCCTAATTCTTCTATGTGAGCTGCTGCCACAGCATGGCTACTGACAGACAAGTGGTGTGGTTCCGCACCCAGGAACCAAACCCGGGCCACTGAAGAACATGCCAAACTTTAACCACTAGGCCATCAGGGCTGGCTCAGGACTTCTGTAAAATTTTTAATAATTTAAGTGAATAATACCTCTGGGGAATTAAAATGTCCTAAGCCTCATCAAAGACAGAAAGCGATCGTGGAGCAATTGTAGCTATACTTCTTTCACCTCCTGTCAGTGAAGATGAAGGTTTGTGAAGCATAGAGAATCTGCCAAAATCTGAATGCCTAAACTTGCAAGTGAGCAAGAGTCTTTAAGTTAGGAGGGCAGGTGCTTGCTCTAACAAATGCAGATGTTCTGGCTGTGTTTATTAAACAAGGGTAAACATCTGAATGAAAAGTAAAAAATCATCTAGATGGTCTGTTTGCTTCCAAAAATTTAGTTATTTGGAAACATCCAAAAATAGTTAGAAATGTCTGGCAAACTCTTAAGGTTTTTCCACCCGTTGGCTTTGGAATGCAACAGATACATTGAGTTTTAGTAGACTTTTAAGCCCTTGAGGAAGGGATCATGTCTAATTTTTGTTGTAAACACAGGACTAGCCCACTGATCCCTATTCAATAAATGTTGGAAGACTGAATGAATAAGAATTAATCAATGCTGCAGAATTCCAGAGATGCCACTGTCTATCATCAAGAAATAAGGTGAGCTTTCTCAGAATTGAAAACATGTTCACAAAAAGATTTGCACAAGAATGTTTATAGCAGTCTTATTCATACTAGCCCAAAACCGGAAATACCCAAATATCCATCAACTAGAGAATGGATAAACAAATTGTAATATATTCATATAATGTAATATTACTCAGCAATAAAAAAGAAGAGACTACACATAGCTAGATCTCAAATACATTACTAAGCTAAAGAATATAGATGCAAATGAGTACATACTGTATGATTCCACTTATGTGAAATTCAAAACTATGGTGATAGAATTCAGGAAGTTGCAGGGGGTGAGTGGTGGTAGGTGCAGAGTAATCAACTATAAAGGGGCATGAGGGAATTTTCTGGGGTGATGGTTCAGTATCTTGTTTTGGGGGTTACACAGGTGTATATTATTGTTGGAATTCACCAAATGGAACACCTAAGATCTGTGCATTTTATTGTATGTTAAGGATAAATCAATTTAAAAAAATTGTTTTAAAGCAAAAGTGAGAGAGCTGGTGGGAGTAACCATCATAACATCTTTTAGGCTCCAATAAAAACTGTCCTCAGGTACTCTTCATCAAGCTACCCCTGTGCTCAAGCACCCAACATGACTTCTTTATCACCTGTCCTGTCAACTCTGTATCCTCATTCTGATCTCCTCCATTAACTTCTCCCACTTCCCACCCACCAAGGTGATCTGCTCACTGTTCCGTGCAGGTAATTTACTCTTTCCTACCTGAGTCTCCTGGTATCCTTACTCGGCCTGGATCCTATTCAAGTTCTTTATGCCCTTCAAATCCCATTTTAAATTGAGGTGCCTCCTTCAGAAGGAACTCTTGATTAATCCTAGCCAATTTGAGGAACCTATGTTCCCTATGCTTTTATGTTCGTTTACTGGACTAATAGGATGCTTTTATACATCCCGTGTATACCGGCAACAGGCAATTTTAATAAAATGGGCAGAGTCTGTGGCTAGGGATCCCTTTGTATTTCTCTGCAGAACCCTGTTCAGAACCTGCATTAATGGGCCAGTCAGTACAATGCAGATTGTGAAGATTATATGATATCCAGACAAGGGCAAATAGATGTTTAACCAAGGACCAATGAGAATGGTATTGAAGGGAGCTCTGAGGCCCTGCAGAGGCCTAGGTGGGCTGTTTGCTTTTCCTCTTTTAAGCACAAGGTTAGTTCAACAGGGAAAGAACTCGTCCCCACTGAGATAGCAAATAGCTCAGAACAAGGTTGCATCCTTTTTCTGCTCAGCCTTCCCTCCTCCTATACCAGTGAGGAAATGGCCAGCACTGGTCTGAGAGCAGCGCAGAGCCTGTTCCCAGCGTCCAGTTTTCCATATTACTAGGAGGACCTCATCCCGGGGGGAGGAAGAGTGAGGCGGGAGCATTTAAGGCCAAGAGGCACTCAAGCCTGTTGTCGTAGATTTACACCCAACACATCTGCAGTAAGGCAAATTACAAACACGATGCTCACAACCACATATACACGTGCACGCCCAGCCCCACAGAAGCAGACGCGCATGCCGGTGGCTCCGCGCGCACCTATTTAGTTTTCTCTGCTATAGATGCCCCCCACTGCACCCCCGCTTGGCCCAGCCCGTCTTCTCCTACCCCTGCACTGGGGAGGTTTACCAAGCCCCACCTGGCGAGGCTTGGGGAGAGTGTTTCTCTATAGGGGGAGGGGAGGTCCTTCCCTTTGGGGCGGAAGCGGCGCGCTCCGACCGGGCGGACTTAGCTCTCGTCCTGGGAACATCTGGAGGGGGCTGGGAGGGGCGCGCACCCAGAGTGAACGTGGATTGGCTGCGCGAGAGCAGGGAGGCGGGGTCTGGGTGATGGGCGGGGCTCACTGGCCCCTTTAAAGCCTTGACATCAAGAGGCGGCCCCAGCACCCCCCGTTTCTCTGCCCCCCGCCCCCGAGCCGCGGCCATGGACCCGGCGGATCCGGCCTGCCCTGGCCCAGCTCGACACCTGATTTCGGTGAGTTCCGGGCCTACTTGGGATTTAAAGGGCAGCGAGTGGGGAGTCTGTAAGCCCCCGGCTGGGGGTGGCGGTGTGGAGGGTAAGGCTCTCGTGGCAGCCTTGGATCGGAGGGGGAGGCGCGGCTTCCTGCCCGGACCTCGCTGCCTGCCCCTCCCTCCCGCCGCACTCTCCCCGAGGGCTCCGGCTGCGACTCTGTCCACCCCCACCCCAATCCCTCCCGCCCCCCGCGCCATCCTCGCGCACACTCCGTGGCCCCGGAAGGGAAACTTTCGGGAGAGGGGGATGTTCCGGGGGCCGGTCTCCCTCCCTCTTTGAAAGCCCTGACCTTGCCCCAGCTGCGCACCCCACCCCACCCGCATCCCACCGTCCGGGCGCCGCTTAGCCGTGCCGGGTTGTGGCGGGGGAGTCGGGGAGGCTCTCCCCTAAGCGCAGGCGCGGAGGCGAGCCCCGGGCTCCTCTGCACTCCTTGCGGTCCCCGTGGCCTGAGGCGGTAGGGCGTGGGGGAGATGGGGAGAGGCGGAGAGATCAGGGTCTCCGAGAACAACCCTTAGGTGGCTTTGAGGGGCTGCGGGAAGGAGTAGGGGAGCCTGGCGGGCTGAACACTAAAGAGAAGGGCTGGGCAGAGACTGGGGCCAGGGCAGCTCCTGCAGAAAAGGCTCTCTGGGTCCTGGCTGCGGTGCCAGAAGAATGCAGAGAATGTATCTGTGCCCGACACTCCCCTGGCCTAGGCCGACTAGGAAAGCGGCTGTCCTAACCCCAGCCCCCCTCTCCTTAACCTGGGCCCAAGGCCCCACGGTCTCTCCAGCCCTGGCACTGCCCCAAGGGCACGGAGGGCCCTTACCTCCCACAGGCCTGGTTTTCCAGGTGTCTCAGCACTATCCACCCAGCCTGTCCAGCTGCTACTTCTTAAATGCTCACCATTCTGAGGAGCCAGTGGTCTTAGGCTGATGGGTTTCCTGGCTGTAAAGGCAACCCCTGTTATTCATCCCTACCACTGCCTCCCTCCCCCACAGGTCCTCCTGCCTGAGCACAATTGTCTGTCAGAGGACGCCTGGGACAGGAGTGGTCCTGGGGGACAGTGGAGAGGGGGTCAGTGTCTAACCATTCCGTGGTTAGTACTTTTGGGGAAAATGAACCTAGCCCAGTTGCCTCGTTGCAGACCTTCTCTTGCAAGACATTATGCCAGCTAACTCTGAGACCCCTTGTCTTTCAAGATAGGAGACGAAATTCACTTCTTATATTGGTTCCCTGTCTTTTTAAGAACAACCTGGGGTTAGTGGATTTCCTACCTCAGAGAAACACATGTATTCTGTCTGGGGAGATATTCCCGCATAGTTCAACTTTGTTTTCAAAGTCATGCTCTGTGCATGAAGAAGCGTCTGCCCTCATGCATGAGGTGGCTTGGGCCCTCCAGCGTCTTTCTCCAGTTCAGGCCTTCGGAAGAGAGTAAGAGGCAGGAGAGGCAGATGGCCTGGGCTGCAGGGAAGAAGGCTCTTCCCCAGTAGGCAAGTGTAAACCAGTGTGGATGAGGACCAAGTTGCTATCACTGTGGACTGGGAGTCAGAAGCTCTGGTCCCTGCTCTTCCCAGCTTGCTATGTGACCTTGGCCAAGACAGTTTGTCTCTCTGGGGCTCTTTCCTCTCATCTGTAAAATTCAGCGGTTGGACTTGAAAGCTCTAACATTCCCTTCCACTTTTTGACGTTGTGTGGTTCCACTGATGAATGAATGTGGAGGGAAGAAAGGTCCTCTGGGAGGGTGGTTCGGTTTGGAGAGGTAGGTGTTGGGTGCTGCGGTCCTAAATCGCAGTGATTTAGGATTAGAGCCTTGGGTGGAGGGGAGCAGACTCCCTTATCCTGCCTAAGAACAGCCATTGTCCTGCTCACCCCTGGTGCCCTGGGGTATGAACTGCTGCTGGCTGGGGTTTGGCCCACCCATCAAGGCTTCTGGTGAGACATCCTGGCAGGCCAGTCTTTGAGTTGGGCCTTTGGGGAGGGGTTGAGAGAGGAGGAGGCAGCCAAGGGCCAGCAGGGTAAGCAGATTCCCAGGAGACAGTTTGCATCTCAACTGTTGGGACTTGTTTTAGGATCTGGGCCAGGGAGCGCAGCACGCTCATCTGCCCTCTTATGGGAAGAGGACAAGGAGAGCCCCACTGCTGTTGCCCATCCCACCGCCTGGCTCTACTCACCTCACCTCTGCACTTATACCCCCAGTTCTCAGGCAGGGGGCTTAGGGAATCCTCCCTGCTGGCTCACCCAGGCCAGCCAGCCTCCCAGACCCTGCCACACCAGCCAGGCAGCAACAAGGAGAGGCCGTCCCAACCCCACCTTCCCCATCTTCCTTCCCTCCTGGGGGTAGGGCTTTCTCAGGAGTCAGGCTCTCCAGGTTGGGACTTGCTCTCTAACCCAAGAGCCGAAGGCCTTCACATTCTCTTTATTCATTTTAATCCTTGGTCTCCCAGGTGCTGAGGGGGATCTTGAAGGATAGGTGGAGACGCAGTAGTTAGAGAGGCTGTGGGATTGGTTGGATCTGGGGCACATTCTCCTGCATTGCTTTTCCCTCTGCTAACTCCCCTGGGCCTGGGGAGCCCACTTCCCTGGGCCCTGCTGCCCATGGGACTGAAGCTGCAGCAGGAAGTATTTAGGTTAGACCCCCAAGGAAGCCTTCCTCACTGCTAGGACCCCCTGGAATGGAGAATGGAAGCTCCCAGGGAGGTCACTTTCCCAGAAAGTGGTTAATGGTGGAGTCCTTGTCAGAGTGAAGGATGCGGCTGTTGCTAGGCAGAGGCTGCTGTTTCCTCTTGGGGTGTGGCTCTGAGGCTGGCCAGCCAGAGGCCCCGTTAGAAGCAGGAGGAGAAAGGACCCTTGCCTGATAACCAAAGAGGGGTCCCTGGCCCTGTCGGCCCTGGGTCACCAGAACTACATTTCTCAGAGCAAATGCTGCTTCTTGCCCCTGCTTCCCCTGGCTCCTCCCCCAATTCACCACCACTACCGCGGTCTGCTTAGACAATCCTCACCAGAACCTGGCAGGCTCCTTCAGCCCCAGTTTGGCTGTACTAATGGACTGATTGGATTTACTCTACTTGCAGTTTGGGGTTTCTGATTGAAGATGCAAATTTATGTAAATCAATCTGGGATCTGCTGCCACATCAAAACAACATAGAGTCCTAGGCTGGAAGGAATCCCAGGGACGGTCTAGTCCAACGCCCTTGTGTTCAAAATGGGGAAACTGAAGTCCAGAGGGGGAAGTGATTCATATGATGATGAGTGTCAGAGGCAGGGCTCCTGATTCTGGTCTAGTGTTTTACATGGTACCGCTCTGTCTTAATTTCGCATGCATGAGGAGGCCTGCCCGAATTTAAAGCAGAGAGGGCGGTTCTTGAACCTCAGATTGCAGAGAGCTAGGTCCTTGGAGGGTCAGAGTGTTATCTCAGGGCCCCCCAGGGGCTCTGGTCAGCTCTCGAACATGCTGAAGAAAAACAACGTCAAATTTCTTAGAACAACACCCTTAATATTTTCCCCCAGGCCCTGCCCTGGAGGGTTGGAGGACAAGGTCATTGGTTGCTGCCTGGCTTGGCCCTTATGGTGTCCCCTGGTGCTGAGATTGTGTCTGTTCTTAGCATCTCTCAGTACCAGGCTTAGCATCTCTCAGTACCAGGCACATAGTAGGCTGTGGATGGATCTGCACAGATCCATGTGATCCATGCATCACAGATCTATGTGGTGCCTCCATCTTTACCCTTCCATTCTCATTTGAGTCTCTGCTGCTTCCCTCCATGGCCACAGTGGAAAAAGAACTTTGGTCTTCTATGACTCTGCCCACCCTCCCCTGCCCTCATGGAGGGCACAGGCCAGCTGGGCCTCCTCTGCAGGTTTCTGCAGCAGTGACAGACCAGGCAAGCCTTGCTATAGGAAGGATCTCATTATTTTAAGATCAATGCCGAAGATGGAAGGGAGCCGCGGAGATGAGCCTGAGTCCCCAAGAAGCAGTCTCTCCACTTCTTGACATGTTTTTGATCTGATCCACCCACCCGGCTGCAGGATACCCCCTGCCCCCATTTCATGGACTGCGCCTGTAGCATGGGGCTGTTGGGTGGGCTGAGCCCTCACTTACCCTGTAGTGCCTGCGTGTGTTGCAGAGATGGCGCTGATGCTCAAAGCAGCTGTTGGCCTGCTTTGCGGTACTTTGGGAGAGTGAGTGTATGGGCTCAAGGTCAGAGGTCCTGACTCCCAGCCAGGGCTACCACCAGGCCCTGCTGCAGCCTGGGGTGGAGGCTTGGGACACATATCTGGGGTCTTCCTCAGCCTTAACCCCAAACCCAGGTCTGGCTGACTCTGAAAGGAGTGCCCTTGTCTTCAGCATCCTCCCAAAACACAGCAGGCATGCAGCCTTTGGTTCCTCGCTGCCCAGCGGCCCTCCACACCCGTATCCTTATCTCCGTGTGAGGGAAAATCCTTCTCCCTGGGCCTCAGTTTCCCAGCCTGTGCTGATGGATTAATAACGCATCATCATTGGGGTGTGGCACCTGCTTGATAATTACCATTTTCTACGCTCTGGGAGTTAAACACAGATGAAAGAGGCCTGAGGAAGCCAGGCTGTTATTAAGGTGAATTATCATTGCTGTTATTACTGATTTCTAAAAATCCAGCAGCCACTGAGAAGAGCCCAGGCAGACACAGCTCCCTGAATCTTATGCTGGTCCTTGAGCTCGGGGAGTTCTCCAGGTCTCACTAAGTGTTTTTTTTTTTAACGTATAGATATTTTAAAAGGAGAGATGACCCCCGTTCTGCTGCTCCTGCTGTTGCCTGCAAGGCTTGAGTGGTGGGTGCTGCCTGGGGCATTGGTCTGCACTTCTCTCTCTCATGCAGGGCTTGAAATCCTCCCTCCCCGAAGACCTTCTGGGTAGGAGAACAATGAGGTTTTTCCTAGATGAGACTGTGAGGGGCCCCCAAACTCCTGGATTGTGGCCCTGGGGTTCTCAGTGGCTGCATTTCCCAGG